CGCCTATCTTCGCGATACTCTCGTCTTTCCTTGCTTTCCTTGCGTGAAGCCGTATACGCCACAGCTGCACCGACTGCGCCAACTGCAGCTGCTTCAACAGCAATGTCGCCCCATTTACCATCAGACTGCTGACGAGAGTTGCGAGATTCCTTTCGGCTCGAACCCTCAAACTTCTCCGTCTCGTAGACCTTTGAGGACACCGGGACCTTGGGAACGGGCTGCTGAAGGGGAACCGGAGCAGGTCGAGTCTGGTGTGAGAGATCCTGGCGTGAGGCGGAATGGGAGGTTTGCGCTGATTGGAAGCGAGAATGCTCAGCGCTGGGGCCTGGGAAGTTGTCCCGCATGTGAATCGGTCCTGACGCCACACTGCCCGAGGAGCGGCGGTAGGCGGCTGCTTGCTCTTCATCCCGGAAGCCACACGGGGTGTTGATTGAGCCTCGCAGCGAATTGTAGGGACCGAACAGTCGGGGATCAACGATCGAGTTCCTCTCTCCATTATATCCGTATCCATATCTCCGATAGTCCGAAGATGAATGGTAGCCTGAGTGAGAGTGTGAGCCAGCCATTGCTGCCGCGGCGCCCGCACTTGCGGCAGCCGCAGCGACTCCGGCAGCGGGTCTCAGAGACTCCCCAACAACGGTGCCGTAAGCAAGCTCCGAGTCGGCGGCCGAGGCTGCACCATCACTGTCACTAGTGGTAGAGGAAGATTCGTCGTCCGAGGCATCCTCCCAGTCCGAATCGTCGTCGGAAGTCTCGACACGAGTCTTTAAGGAGTTTCCCAGGCCGTGGCCCTGACGTCGACCGTATCGAGACGCCATTGCCGCGCCTGCCGCGCCTGCTGCAAGTCCAAGAGCTGCCGCCTTACCCTTACCTGAGCTCTTGCTAGCGCGGCGCATCTCATCCTCCTTGGACTTCTTGGCTAGATTAGAGAGCTGTTGACCAAGAGCCATGATCTCTTCATCCGCAGTCTTTACTTTCCGAGGCGGGAGTGTGGGTGTGCGGTCGCGGTCGGAGGCCTCTGCCGAAGACCGTCTTCGGCGCGCATAGCCCTGTGCGTATCCCGAAGAGGACGCGTATCCTTGAGCTGAAGCAGAAGCGCGGCTGCGAGGGGAAAGAGTGCGACTCTTTGGCTGCTTGACATATCCCTGGCCGTACGCCAAGTCCGAGTTGACCGATGACGATGACGAATTGCCAAAGTAGAGCACGCGACGCTTCTTCTTCTTCTTCCTGTGTAGATGCTGCCTCACGCGGTCCGAGGGCGCCTTGAAAAAGGTGCCGAAAACGCCGCCATATTCCTTCGTGTCCTTGAATCGCGAGATATCCAGTAGCGACGAAGACGTGTCACTGGACGAAGAGAATACGCTTGAGGGCGTCTGCGGTCGACGTGTCTCTGGGTGAGGTGAGTAGGGATCATTATAGGCGGGGTGAGTCTGTGGCGGCGCGTTGGGATAGGGTTGAGATTGCGGGTACTGCTGTTGTTGATTGTAAGGTTGCTGTTGCTGAGGGGAGTTTTGATACTGCTGATGCTGGAATTGTTGGTATTGCTGGGGCTGTTGGTACATGGGGGGTTGTTGGTATCGTTGTTGCTGATATTGCTGAGGGTATTGTTGAGAGTACTGTTGCTGGTACTGTTGTTGTTGCTGTGGTGGTGGAGGCGGGTGTTGTTGTTGTTGCGGGTATTGCTGAGTCGGCGTTGGCTGCTGCGACGGCGGTTGACGCGAATCTCTCGCATCGCGAGACTCGTGCCACCGTCGGCGAGCACTCTCGGAGTCCCGAGAGCGGTGATCTCGCATCATTGTGGCCGGCCTCTACGGGTGTCGATGGGAGGAATCGGGGGGGGTGGTGGAGGAGGGAGATGGTGTTTTGTTTTGCGAAGGAGCTCGACGACGACGCCAGCTTTCCATGGGTGCCCCGTTCGTCTCGGCCCACTAAACAGGACAAGCGGTGGCTGGGGTTTGGGTGTGTCCAATTCTTGGACGCTAGGCTCCGTCGTTGGCTCGCCCAGGTTCTCGCGGTGGGTCTGAGATTGGATCTGCCGCTGGGCCTTGGGAGGCCTGGGCGCTAAAAATTGCTCGGTAGAGGGTGCTTGACTGGTTTGTGTGTGTGTCCGTCTTGTCGCCGATATGATGATGCGATGAAGCGGGAGAGAGATCTCCCTCGCGCTGATCTTGGTGGTATCGCGCTCTTTCTCTGCTAGGTACTGTACGGGTGGTGCTGATTCTAGGTGAGGGTTTTCATATCGGTGGTTTGTAAGAACCGAGATCAACTCCAGGTCAGAGTTCGCCAAGGATGCTCTGTTATCGCAGAAATCATTTTAATCTTGGTCACTTCAGCTGGTGCAGAGTCGACATTCAGGCCGCCACACATTGGCTAGCGCCGTCGTCATCTCCACCGAGATTTGGTGCATTGCCAGCTGGCAGTCACATGCTGTAACACGTGCGGCCACTCTCGCGGGCCGTCCGTCAGGGTGCCTACCCTGCAATTGGTGGGAGGGAAATCCGATTCGACTTGCGTCAATATCTTCACACAAGGGTCCTGGGGATCCTCTTCAGCTGAAATCTGATAATGAGGTGTTATAGACGCCCAGGCCTATTTTTAATTATGGGCCATGGACATGCAGATGATAACCAGGCCGTTTAAATGCTACCGTCCATTAAAAGCTTGATGCAACTACAGCCCTAGAATGACTCAAAACATGTGGACAACCTCCACCGAGTTGCTTAGCGAACATCTCACCCAATTGACCAACACCGATTGCGCTCTGAAACCAGCCACGGGCTTGACAACGCATGCCGCACCGCGCTACCATGTCATCGGTCTTTACATATATACAAATCAAACAGCAGCCAGAAAAGCCCTTCAAAACCCGCCCATAACCTTAACCTTGACGTGCATGCCCTTGGAGGGCCGGGCCGTTACACCGCCCCGGATTTCCACCTTGCTCTCGTCTGCTTCTTCCGGGTTCGCCAGTGCAAACTCGAACCGGCCGACCCACGCCGCGAGGAGGGCGGCGAACTCGGCCTTGGCGAAGCTCTGCCCGATACAGCTCCGGGGCCCGTGCAGGAACGGCAGGAATGCGTAGTTGCTGGTCGCGCCCCCGCTGGCGGCGTTCCGGTCTGCGGCTCCACCCTCGGGGCCGGAGGGGAGCCACCGCTCCGGGTCGAAACGGTCCGCGTCCGGACCCCAGAGGTGTTGGTCAAAGTGAGTCGCCCAGGGCACGATGACGATACGAGTACCTTTTCGCACTGGATGGCCCAGAATCGTGGTGTCGTGAGCGGCATCACGCATCGTCAACGGTACTGGGCTGTAGTAACGGAGAACCTCACTACAGACGGCAGTGAGGTATGGCATGCGATCAATGTCGAGACTCGTGATGTCGGAATCTGAATCCACGGACGGTAAGCGCTCTCGCACCTCTTCCCGCAGCCGGCTCTGAACCTCAGGATATCGAGACAGCATATAAACTGCCCAGGTCATGGCCGATGCTGTCGTCTCGTGTCCCGCAGCGAGAAACGTCATGAGCTGATCGACCAAGTTCTCATCCGTGAAGCCACCGCTCTCAATGGCCACCGAGAGGATATCAATATCTGGCTGCTCCTTGTTGGCCAACTTGGCCTTCTTCTCCTGGATCAGGTCTCGGCACACCGCTCGGATCTCGTCCGCCGCTGCGTTGATGGTCTGGTTCCGGCGGAACGGCAGCTTGGTGACTATTTGCAGCGGTATAAAAATGGAAATGAGGCCCAGAATCTGAGCCGCACGGGACGGCTTGATGATCTTCCTGTAAGTCCTGGCGAGCACGCTCTCCGGGTCTTGGATAGCACCAAAGTCTCGCCCCATGCCAGCGACGCCGATGATATCGAGCGTCGCCCGCGATGCCCAGCTGGATACTTCAAGCTCGACCTCGTCCCGGCCCCCAACCTCTGTCGTCATAGCCTGAGTCACCTCTTTAGCTTTGCGCCAAAAGATGGGGTACATGTCCTTGATGTGACGGAAGGCAAACGCAGGCGTCAAGTTGCGACGCTGCACCCTGTGCTCATCACCCTCGGCGAACAGCACTCCTATTCCAAGGATGCGCCCGATGGATTGCTGCAAGTAACTCGGCTTCTCAAAGGCGTAGTTGTTGGTGACCAGCACCTCGGCCAACGCTTTGGCTGAGCAGACAAGGATCCGCTCCTGGTTCAACAGACCGCGGTAGCGGATGATGCCATCGTTGGGGATCTCGGACACCCTGGGATGAGGATTAGTATGTTGTTTTCAAAGTACAATTGCACCACAAGGGGCAATTGACGAACCATTCTCGCATTGGAATGCCCGAAGGCTCTGCAAATATCCTCTTTGCCTGGCCCAGAAGCCAGTGGTTGTTGGAGGGTTCAGGCAGATGTCGCAACGGCGACACGAGCAGCGGATAGATCCATATCGCCCAGACAACCCAGAACACAAAGCCCACGGTCCACAGCCCTGTAAAGTGTTTCAACAGGAGTAGCCTAGACCAATCGTTCTGCACCCAGCTGAGAGCCAGAGTGACCGTGGCAGCGCCGCCCGTGATGTTCTCCCACGGCAACCCCATGACGACTTGAGGCCCTCACTCTCGAGTATCTTGCGAGTCAAAGGGGGTCAGGTCAAGCAATGGGAGGAGCCAATACTTTAACGCGGTCGGGACAAGTAGCAACAGGAGTTGGGCTTTGCAGGGGACGGAGCCAGGGGTAACAGCCACGGGATGGCCTTATAAGCGATTCGTTTATCTTAAACGCAGTGGAGATTTCGTCAATGTCCCCAGACTTGTCCAAGACTCGAGCCGTCAGAGAAGTTGGCAATTGCTCCAAGTCGGCCTATCCTAGCGTCCGATCGGTCGTCAACATTGTGCCGTTGTCCCAACGGACATTGCCGTTCCAACTCAAACTCCGACCGGCAGCTATGTTGGCCGAGTCTCTCACACTATGCGCTAGTCTCGCCCGCTTCATCGCTCTCCAAGAAGCCGAGCTAGGGTTGCATCAGAGTTGATGGGGGGGACAAAGTGGGTTTCTTTATGAGATTATCGCTAATTCCGCTATTGTAATAGGACAGCCATTGGCAGACAAGCCCTGCTGCTGCGCTTCCCCCCAAAATTGTCAAACGTCATGAAAACGCCAGATGACACTCCCTCCTAAAAAGAAAACCATAACCTGGTGCAATTTCCATGAATCAGTCCATGATGCCCTCGATGCCAAAGCTAACGCCAAATCAATCCCTCCCTCGCATGCGAATCGGATTCTTGTATCATCGTCCACAACCTGTCCCATGTCCCTTCTGTCGACGTCCACTCGGCACCTGAGTGCCAACCAAAGTCTAGGTCCATGACCTCAACCACTCGGTCGATCATGTCCATCCCCTGGCCTTCGCGGGGTAAGATCTCAACCACGTGGTAGTTGCCGCTTGTCCCGTCTCGCTTCACTTACCGTCTTGACGCATTTCGACTGAGAAATGCGCGCCTCGCACGAGCCTGGCCACGGCGCTACCAAGACCGATTACTGTTGCCCTGGATGGGTCCAGGTAGATCCTGCGGCGTAGCCAAGGAGGGGGTTGCGTTCTCGTTGCCTCCCGAGGCCGGGCCAGCTTGCACCTGTGGTGGCGGGTTCCGAATCTCCAGGAGCGGCAGATCATGAGATGGCGCCGTCCCAAGAGGGTGTCTGTCTGTGGCGCCTATGAACACTCCCTGTGGCTGGTACATTGGTGCTAATGGCGAGAGAGCAGACATTGAGATGGTAGATGCGGGAGTTGATGCCTCTCCGGGCGCATCCGTGGTTGTTGTTGACGTACTATTCGGGGGACCATTCAACCGACCATTCGACACCTGATCCCGTTCATTGGTCCATTGTTGCCGTCGCTCCATCGGCGACATCTCGTCCCAGTGGTGCACAAACGAGTGTCCGATCAAGGGTGCACCCGGAGCAGCGCGCTGCGAGGGCGTGTCGAAATGGACAGCACGGCTATGGCCTCCCGATAGTGGCCTCCACTCGCGAGTGTGTCCGTTGTCGTGTCGGGCTCTGGTTCGACGTTGTCGTTCGCCCGCATCACTCGGTGGTGATCTTCGTCCGGCCGTGACAGGTTGTCGCGAGGGGGATCCGTTTCTGCCCGGAATTCCATAAGACATGACCATCGCTCTGGCCAAGATGTCGTCTGGATTAGCGGTTGCCCTATCAAGTCTGTCAGCTGCTAACGACCAAGACATCAGCACGGTAAGAAGCCTAATCACGCACCTTGACGAAACGTGGAGTCCCTGCGACCTCATCAGGCTCATGAAGGCGCGTGTAGAAGCGCTGGTGTGCTGTTTGGGTTCTGCATGCAGCTTGTCACGGCAATATGGGCAACTATCTGACTGATCAAGCCACTTTTTGATGCAGTGGTCTCCAAAGATATGTCCGCATTTTGGAAGACGGAGCGGCACCTCGGAAACACCCTCAGGACTTTCAACGCCATAATCGCCGTAGCAAATGACACAACCTGCGACGCATTAGCTTCACCCTACCACCGGTTCATTTGACAGCGAGATCGCTTACTTCGGTCTCCCTCCGGGATATCTTCAATCTTGACACTTTCGAGAGATCGCAACGTCGACTTGGATGCCACCATCTTGGTACTAACAGCACCTCTCATGAGTTGCATGTGACGGAGGACTGATTCTTCGTTTGCCTCAGCAGAGGAGTCTGACCCGCCCGGGCTGTACATTCCATGCTCGAAATACACATGTCGGGCAGCGTCGTCATCATCTTCCCGCCCAGGCTCCGACGACATGATGCGAGTGGATGTTGGTCTGCGATGGCGTGTGTTGTGAGATCTGCGGAAACCAGACGAAGGAGGGGACGGCCCTAATGAATATTAGCTGGTGCAAACGACTGGTTTCGTGCGTGCTGCATGATACGGTGGCGTCGGACGAGGGTTTCTCGCAAGCCAGAGCTCGGTGTAACCAGGAGGAGGCTGGCTGACCCCGAGACAAGAGGGAAGCTTACTGGTAGGAGAAGGTATGTCACGAAAGGTAGTCCTTGAAGAAGTGGAAGCCGACGAAAAGTGTCCCCGACGCGGCGGTGGTGTTGACATGTAAGGGTGAGGGGGGAGAGGCACAGGTACGGGTACGGGCACGAAGTGAGGAGAGTTGTTGTTGTGTTGGCCGAAGTTGTTTGTTGGAGGTTCTGATGCGAGAAATGGTGGGCGCTGCTGCTGTTGCTGCTGTGAATTGGGCTCCGGAGCTGCACCTGCACCTGGCGGCGGAATACCCAGACCTGCAGGCGGCTGAAAACTCAATGGCCGGCCGGGAATTTGGTTTGCAAAAGCTCCATCACGGCTGTGAGCACCCGTGCCGGAAGCGACCGGCGCTACGGGGGGTGGCATGGCACTGCGATGGTAGGTCTGATGTCGTCCACTGGGTCGCGGAGATATGGCCCCCGGCATGTTTTCTGAAAACGCATGGGGATGCGGCAGGCTCAGCATTGGCGGCAACATGCCTCCATGATGATGACCGAGCTGGAACGGATCCGGGCCGGAGCCGGGTGCAGGCTGCAACGGGTGGTGAGGATAGCTCTGAGGCAAGCTTGGATTCTGCGTCTGCCATGGGTAAGAAGGTGAGTTGTGTGAGTGAGACATCCAATGGTTCGAAGCCGAATGTACGGGATCGTAGTGGCCAGAAGACCGAGGATTGTGCATTATAAAGTCCATAGGATCCATGGGATCCATCTTGGGCGACGGAGCTCGGCTGCTAGATGAACCTCGTCTGTAATGACCTGGGCTGGCGGAGCCTTGCAAGAGAGAAGCCGCCCGGGAGCCTGATGTGGTATTCCAGGCGTCGCGGGGGTTGAAAAGGGCGGCTCAGACGCTGCGAGTCTCGAATGGGCACGATGCGGATGCGGATGCGGGTGGCAGCAACACCAGCTGCCTGGACGACTGCCCCACGTAAGTGATGGATGGGTATGTGTATTCGTAGTATTCTAGCAGTGTTGGACTAGGACTATCGGGAGTACGCTGCGATCACAGGGCGGTGATCGGGAAACGCGGAGGGGTCGAGGTCTTGGGACCCAAGGACTTCCGGATGCCGAAGCGAGGGACCAAGAGGGAGGAGAGGTAGAGCCGAATGAGGGCGGGCGGCCGCGGTGGGAGGATGGTGAGGATGAGGGGCAGCAGCTGCTGGGTCTGTCTGTTATCGGGGGGGCTGCGATAACGCCGATGACGACGTAGCTTGTAACTTTAGCGGCGGCGTCCAGGACCAAGACGACGGAAGCTGACGGGCGAGACTCAAAGCAGCGACAAGAGGCGGTCGTCGAATGATGGCGAAGACGAAGACGGCGAGGTGAAAAGAGAGGAGGGAAGGAAGGAAAAAGAGAGGAATAAAATGGTGTGGGGGACAGACAGAACAGACAGAAAAAGCTGAGCTGAGCTGAGCTGAGCGAGCGAGCGAGACAAGAGGAGAAATGCAAAAAAAAGAAGACCGGATGCCACGTCTTGTACGAATGAGACTCCCTGGGCCGGACTGGACTGCACTGGCCGACGGTGGACGGATGGTGATGCTGTGGGTTGCAGGGACAGGCTCGGGCGGAATCCAGCAGTGCCAACGTCTTTGTCCGTCGCTCGCGAGCGAGGCCGGGCTTGGCTGGGCCTGCCTGGGAGGTGGTCTAGACGCTGCCTGAGCGAACGAGCGAGCGAACACACTTCTGACACCGGGGGCAAGCTCTGCTTTCCTTTGCTACCAGGGGGGGAGGATGAAGAGGGGGCGCTTTTGACGAGGCGTACAGCTAGGTAGGTACAGGACCTTGAGGCAGGCGAGCGTCGGCGGTGGCAATGGTAGGCGTCAGGAAATGTCGTGAATGTGGCCAGGCGGGTGATGGATGTAAGTGCGATGGATGGATGCTGGGTAGCTACCCAACCTGGAAGGAAGAGCGGGAGTAGGTGGATGTGGGAGAACGGAAGCCGGTGGGCAGCTCCAATGGGTCAACGGTTGCGAGTGTACGAGGAGGCGTTTAGGTGGTGTAGCAGGACGTGAGAGGAAACAGGTCAGATTCAGGTTACGGAGGCGTAAGGAAGAGACGGCAGGCAGGCAGGTAGGCGGGCAAAGGTGAAGCCCGGGAATGAAAGAAAAGGCTTCTTTGTCTTTACGTAGGCGTACCGGCGGAGAGGACGGACGTCTGGAGTATTATGGAATAGAGAAAAGGGTTAAGAAAGAAAAAGGGAGTAAGAATGAACAGGCCGGCGGGCTGCTCTTGTCCCTCCAACAGAAACCCCGGGGATGATGATGGCACCAAATGTCGCAGTCAAGTCAGAGCCGGAGTCGTAGTCAAAGTCGCAGTCGCAAGTCGCGGTTGGATTAGCTGGCCGTCCACCACACAACACACACTCTCTCACTCACACACTCCCCAAAATACTGGACTGGCTGGTGCCGGCCGGCCGTGTTTGGCAGCAAGTGGAGAGTCGTCGGGTTGATCGGTACAGTACGGTATCCGTATCCCCAAGTAAGCCTGCTGCTCCCAAGCAAGAGAGGCCCGCCGCCTGGGTAGGCAAGGCATTCAAAGCGGGACTGACAGACAGGACAGCCTGGGTTTGTGATAAGCGAAGCGGGCAAGGGGACCGACCGCGTGCGGCGGCGGCGGCGGCGGCGGGAAGGCAAAAGGTGAGAGTATGGATCACCGAGAGTAAAAAAAGACGCCGACAGAGACAAACGGCAGGGAGATGACGACGGGGACGACGACGACAACGAACAAGGCTGGTGGGAATGAGGGGTTGAAAACGAGGTGAATGATGAGGGAGAAGAGGGGAGAGGAGAGCAAGCAGACGGACAGACAAACCGAAAGGTAAAACGAACGACGAACCAACGCACGACGACCAAGAAACAGTCGATCAAAGTGCAAAGTAGGCGAACGGACAAGCTTCCAAGGTTCACCTCCTACTCCTACTCCTCCTCCATATCCCGGATGAAGCGACCCTCGCTCGCCCTAAGAGAAACCACCCGACTGACCCGTTGGTACCATACTTTGCTTGGTACGGTAATACCTCCACCATCAGGGGGGCACGGGCAAGGGCCTACTCGAGTGATGAGCTGGAGACGGAGAGACCTCTCAACCAAGACTCGCAATGACAGAGTGAGAGGGAGAGAGAGTCATGGTCATGCGCAGAGGAAGTCTAGCCGGGCATGGGCATGGACGATACCGTCCAAAAGGTACTACTAGTAGAGCCCACCCAGCCGCCAGCCAGAGTCAACTGGGCAAAAACTCAAGCCAGTTTCCAGCCAGTCCAAGCCCAAGCCGGCACAAGCCCATCATTGATTCCAACAAAAGCTCTCGGCTTTGATCTTTTTTTTCTCTCTTGTCTTTCCCTCTGAGCCTTTTTGTTTTTTTCCTTTTCCTTTTTCCCTTGCTCACTCACTCACCTGAGCAATTAGCGGGACAAGATCGCCTCAGTGGAGCTTGTTGCGTGCCATGGACGTACAGTAAGAAAAAGCCCCAAGTTGCTGGGGGTGAGCCTTGGGGGCGTATTAACGGAGCCTATACCAAACGTGCACATGATGCGAAGAGGGCATGATGGATTGGCTCTCATCGATTGGATTAGAAAGGTGTCTGGGCGGGCTCTTCCCTGCCTTTGACTGCCAGGTTCCGAGCCCAGATACAACCTACGCCCGGGTCCTACCTTTTTTTCAATGGATGGATCTATTGGAGGGATGGATGGAGGCCCAGAGGTGTTCTCCAGGTGCTGAGGCGGCGGGCCTCGTAGAACAAACTCAACCACCACCACCCACCCTGGAGATGGCGGAAACCATCAGGTTCAGCTGGTTAGGGTACAGCGCCCCCTCTCTCGTAAAAGGAGTAGGGGAAAAAAAAGAAAGCAAACCCCGAATCTCTGGTTAGTCTCTCCGTTCATGATCCTGGAAGTGAGAAGTTGAACTGTCTGTGTTCATACTGTGAATCAATATTACCCTTTTAGGATGCGGACCCGGCATTCAGCGAACTTGGAACTAACAAGACGCCAGGCAATGTCCAACAAGTCATGGGATGATGACTTGACCTCCCTCTCTCTGTGCTGAATCACTTTACAAACACCTCGTTTCATCAGTTGTTCCGTGATTACGGCGCCCATTCGAAACCTCTCTTTTTTGTATCCTCCCCACCGGTGCCATGATGGCTCTGCCTGTCGACATGACCATCATGTGAGCGACCGCCGTCGCCTCGCGTGCCTCGAGCCATCCATCACATCACATCACCCATGATTGCCCATCACTCTCTAAGCTCGAGCCCCGGCCCACAGGTAGATGGACGGACAAAAACGCTCTCACAATTGCGGCTCATATCGCGACCCGACCGCCATGATAAGCCCCTCTCCGCTAGACCTCACTGGAGCTGCCCCTCCAGCAGCAGCGTCAAACTGGCGTTTGTCTGACGTTCCTCCATTTTAGCCCACCCAGTGTAGGTGATCGTCGTCCTCTCACAGCGAACCTGCTTGGCAATGGAACCAGCCGGGTTGGTTTTTCTTGTCTTGCTTTCTTTTCTCGACTGCCGCTGCGCACCTCTGGCAGGCAAGCTGCATAACAATGCAACGAATAATGTCCGTCCTTCAAGCCCTGCCTGCTGTGCTGTCTTCGTCAAACCCAATAGAGGAGGGTCCGCGCAGAGACTATCGGTTCCCCCATCCTGGATATGTTTTTGTTTGTTCGACCACCAACCCCAGCCCTCCGCCACCATTGGCATGCCTGGCGTGTAAGTTGGGCTCTTTGATGATGGGCATGTTGCTCCTCTCTGCCAACCTTGTTTCGCTGACCACGCAAGCAGCGAGTAGTCTGTTCGTCATTATAATGTGGCTTTCCCTTTTCTCAAGTCGTTCCGTCCGTCCTCCTGTTCCCCTGCCTCGAACTAAAAAAAAGTGCCATGGGTCTGTCAATCAGTCAATCAATGGATTGCATCTCACAGCCAGCTGAAGCTCCAAGGAGCATCCGTCCGACGGCACAGCCGATCGGCTACGCACCGCAAACCCAAGACAGCAAACACACACACACGCACGCCACCTGACACCTCACTCCCTGCCTGGGATGGGAATCAACATGAACGCCCAGCTCAAGCCCGATTCGAGGTCTCACATGCAGAATGGCAACCTTGTCTCTTGACTCGCCCGGTCTTTTTTAATACTGAGACACTTGCCGGAACCTCACTTGCGCTCTGCAGGCCGCCCTGTCTTTTGGTGTTGAGAACAGAAACATTGTCTTTCAACAGATCAGACAAGAGAGACCCAATGCCGAATCCCGGTCTAGGGATCTTCAAGGCGTCCAACCGGTTTCATCGTCTCTTTTTCAGCAGCCATTATCGCTATGACTCAGTATTCCCTCCCCCCAGTCCTCCAAGTCCACTCCCACTCACATGGTCTCTTCGCGCAACCCTGGCGCATCTCACGCGCCTCAGCCCCGTCCCATCCCATCGATGCCTCGTTGAATACGTCAGACCTCAAGGCACCTGAGCATTCCATTCCCATCCTCAGTCAGTGGAGGCGCCTGTGCCGCTCGGGCGTTGCGGATCCCACCCATCACCATCTGCCAGAACATGCAACCACTTTAACCTCGAGGACGTCAATTGGTCCCTCCGCACCCGGAATCCCCAGATCCTGGATAAATACTGGCCCTCGTCGACAGAAACAGATCTGCAACGACTACCCGGCACCGTGAAACTTCTCGCTCCTTTTGAGGGAAACTCTTCTATTCGCTGTCT